GACTGAGCGAGTAAATGGCAGGGCTGCTGCTGACAAAGGTCTTTGAATAGAGGCTGGATCATGGATCCCCCTTTATCAGTTAGATTGTGGAGAAGTTTTCTGTTCTAGGGGGAGCCAGGCCTAGACAGCTTTGAGGGGCTCTTCACAACTCCTGGGCTTCTATGATCCCAGTATGGGCCTCCCACACAACGCAATGCGCTCCCTGAGGTCAGAGACTGTTTCACTGATGGATTTGTGTCCCCAGCACCTCCACAGTGTCTCTGTAATTGAATGTTGGTGGGTGCCCCATCCCTCACCCCACTCACAGTGCCTTTCCGCAGTACTCTGTCCTTGTTTCAGCCCTCACACACCCTTTGACATTGTATTATTCAGGTCTGTAGATGTCATTCCTTTCCACCACAACTCCACCAAAGCAGGGACTCTAACTTAGCTGTTTTGTTATCAAGGTTATCCAGACTCTCTGACCTGCTGTGTGTGATGGCCTTTTCTCTGCTTTTTATCCTACTCACCTCTTCTTTAGCCTTTGTTATTATCATCCCCCTCCTCCTCCTAGATGCCCTCTCCTTGCCTAGCTTTCCTGGCACTGCTTCAACCTGGTCCTCTTCCTACCTCTCTGACCTCTCCTCTCAATCTCCTCAGCCTTTAGCATGGGTATCGCTTGTTTCTGGGCCTTCTTTTTCCCTTTTAAAAATATTCTTTTTCTGGGTGATTTCATCTGCTTCTATGGCTTCATATATCAATTTTACCCATGTTTACATGTCCCAGGTGAATGCAAACCCTGCATCATCAGCTGCCTGAGCAGCTCTGCCTTGGTGCCTGTGCACCTCACCACTTCCCTTTTTTGTCAGTTTTACCACCAGTCCTCGGTTCTTTCCCAGGCATCATGCCTGCTCTAGCTACACTCTCTTCCCTTCCCACTCAATGCATCTCTATACAGTCTTCTACATTGTAATCTGCTGCTCTTTTGTCTTATCATCTTTCATGCCTTGCCAGACCCCAACCCTGGATTACTTCCACAGTCTACCTCCTAAGCTCCTACTCATATGTTAAATGGAGCTGGAGAGAATCACATTACCATGTTCATTGGGTCCACTACACATCTATGTTATCCAGTTATCCAGGCAACATTTTATACCTTTCCAACCGGTTTGCTTTCCCACTCTCCACAATGGCTGTCTCAAACCTTCTCTCCTCATCTCCTTTCCCCATCCTCTCAACAGAGGACCTCACCTAATACTTTATGGAGAACATTCAGCCATTCTGCCAAGAATTCCCCCTTCTTTTTTTTTAATTTTTTAAAAAATTTATTTAGTATTTTATTTTCCCCCAGTTACATGTGAAAGGAATTTTTAACATTCGTTTCTAAAACTTTGAGTTCCAAATTCTCTCTCTTCCTGCCTCCCCATCCTCCCTTATTGAGAAGGGCAAGCAATTCGATGTAGGTTATACGTGTGTAGTCATGCAAAACACATTTCCATATTAGTCACAAGAACTCCCCCTTCTCATCTTCTTCTTACCTCCTCCCTCCCCTCACCAGCTCAGACTTTATCCCCTACTGTTCCCTCTTTTTATCAGAACCCTGATCATGAGGTAGCTCTTCTCATCACTAAGGCCAATAACTCTACTTGTAGACTTGATCCCATTCCTTCCTGTCTTCTCTACCAGATCGTTCCTTCACTGTCATTGCTCCCCTTCTAATTTCCACTTTCTCTCTATCGCCTGGTTCCTTTCATGACTGCAAAGATGACCAAGTTTTCCTACTCTTAACCATGTCCACTAGCTATTACCTTATTTCTCTCTTCCCTTTCTTAGCCAAACTTCTTGAGACTGTCATCTACACTTAGGGCCTCCCGTTCTCCTCTTTCTCTCTTCTTAACCTTCTGCAGTCTGTTTCCCAACTTCATCACCCAAAAGAAATCGTTCTTTCCAAATACCATGGCCTCTTCACAGTCTGCATTTTTCCTGACCCCTCTGTGAGGGTTACTGCTGACAGTCCACCTTCTCATCTTGGAAACTTTGTTGATTGGGTTTTCACGATCTTTCTCCCTTTTCATTCTTTTACTCGTTCGACCACTCTTTGGCCTCCTGTGCTGGGTCATCATTCACGTCATTCTCACTAAGTGTAAGTATAAGAGAGGGCTCTGTCTTGTGACCTTTCCTCTACTTTTTCTCACTTGGTAACCTCATCAGCCCCCGTCTATGTAGATTCATCTATGTCGATGAATTGGGTATTTACCTAGCTAGCCTGAGTCTTTCTTCCCCATCATCAGCTGCCTAGTAGACACTCCAAACTGGATGTCATATAAACATCTCAAATGAAATATGTTTCAATTAGAATTGTCATTTATAATGCATATGGAAGGCAAAGCTTGGGCAAGAACTTGAGAAAGTGAAGGGTGAGGTGTAGATTGGGATGAGGGACTAGGGAGTGATAGCAGAGGAAGGGAGCCTGGTTTTTGTTTAGACGACGATTGTCCTGTCACTAAGATCAGGGCAGCAAGAAGTAGTGGTTTTTCTAGTCTAGGATTGGAATGTATGCCTTGTGATTTGGACTCCCCCCACCCAAGAGTCTTGTGAATGGCAGAGGATGGCATCCGTCACCTTCAGAAACTCCAAGGTAGAGGGGAGATTAGGCCTTATGGCAAGAAATATGGTACCCGGAGCTGTTGTCCTGATGTCGAACGTTCTGCTATCAGAGGATCTGGTTCTGGGCTTGGTCCTGGAAGTGAAAGGTGGGATTTGTGAGCCTCAGGTGCTGGCTTAGGTCTAGTCCCGCCATGGAAGCTGTTTCCTGTCTGATCCCTGCACCGCAGGGGTGGGAGCTGCAGCATTGTTGCAGTGAGGCTTAGTCAGGGCAGAGAAGCAGTCAACTCCAGGGTAGTGGTGTGGGGCTGGAGGTTCAGGAAGAGGCCAGGGAAACTGCTCATTATCTACAAAGATATTCCAGCTCCCCTGATGACGGCTCATTTGCGGCACACCTCATAATCACTCTTCTAGTCTCCTTGGCATAGTATCAGTATCTGCTCTTTTAGAGTTTGGAAACTTAATATTCTTTACTTTTTTCTTAAAGTTGCCAGACTGAATGCATGTGATCAATGGTAGGAAACCTGGCTATAAACACCTGCTCATGCCTCATAAAACTCCTAATAAGGCCTTATCATTTTGGAAGAGGCTAAGCATAAAGAGTATCTGGATTTCTGAAATCTTTCCAGGATCAGAGGGGAAAAGGAGCTGAAAAAAATCTGCTGGTCACAAGGAGGTCACAGCTTTGGGCCTGCCTTTTACTGTCCAAGTGGATCAGGTTTGCAGAATCACCTTTGGGTTTATTTTTTCCCAAGAGCAAGACTGCTCCCAGAGCCTCCTGTGCCTGAGAGGTCTGGCCACTGGTAACTTGTCAATCTTGTTACAAGTATCTTATGCCAAACACATTATTTTGTTGTTGTCATTTCAGCCATGCCCGACTCTTGATGACCCTGTTTGGGGATTTCTTGGCAGAGATACTGGAGTGGTTTGTCATTTCCTTCTCTGGAATCTTTTTCTTCCCCCTCGAACCCTCTACTTTTCTAACTTGCCTATTACTGTGGAGGGAGATACCACCCTCCCAGTTACCCAGCGCAAGCCTAGGTGTCACCCTCACTCTGCACCCTCTCATGCTCTCCCCCATGTCCAGTCAGTTGCCACATTCTGCTCCTTCTGCCTTCATAACATCTCTGGTCTATGCCTCCTTCTCTCATCTCGTGGAGCCACCACAACCCTCTCATCACCTCCAACTCAACCTGTGTATGTCCTGTTGGGGCAGGCATGTTCCTTAAGCGCAGAAATTGCCTTTTGCCTTTGTTTGTAACTCTAGGGCTTAGTCCAATACCCGGCATACTGTAGGCACTTAATAAATGCTTATTGACTGACTGATTTAGGCATTGAATGTTTAGAATAGGTTCCATGTGTTTCAGAAGAGAAATGCCCATCTGTACAGAATGTACAAGACGCTTTTCAAACAACTTGTAATTGGTAGCCATCCTTTGGTTAAGTCATTTGATGACAACATTACACACGTGTGTATGTGAACATGCCCATGTATTATTACTTCAATTCCCAGAGGTTCTAGGTGAACTTTTAGAATCAGAGTCCTGTCTCTTAGTTATATGCACAAAATCTTTCCTCTTCCTTTTCATCATTTATTTAAAAAATGACACATTTCCTTACATTTCAGATGTTTTGGTTACTTTTTATAGTCTTCTCACTCCACCCCCTCACACCTGTCTGGGAATCCAGCATTAGGAGTTTATGAGTCGTGTCCCACCTCAGCCACACTATGACCTTTGGACACGTTCTTTTGCCAGATTCTCTGGGCCGCAGTTTTCTTGTCTGTAAAATCAGGTGGTTTGCCTAGAGATGATCTCTAAGCTTTTCTATAATTCTGTAATACTAAAGCTGTTTTTCCTACTCTCCCTAAAATTACAACCATGACCTGTTGCTTATTTAGTCAAATTGTAATAATACTCATTTGAGAAGGCAGGTTTTAAATATATGACAAGTCATAGTGTGTCTACTTCAAGAAAAATAGTAACGTGACTTTTTTTTTAATTTGGAAAATTTATTTAAATTAGTCTGAACTATTTGAGAGTACATTAAATAAAACACTGACTAGGGTTTGATTGTCGAAGTACTTCATAGTCCACTGTCCTAGTTCTTAACAGCAGTCTTTGAACTGAGAGCACATTTCACAAAAGAGTCAACATGCCAGTCACATATAAAGCAAGAGGTAAATTTTTATGGCTTCTTTTGTGTGTGTATATGTGTGTTAAGACTTTTTTTTTAAATAATTGATGCTCAAGCATCCGCCGAGAGCCTTCCGGTGCTTTTGATGTACTATCTGTATCTTTCTAACATATTTAAAAACTCACAAGGTAGTGTGAATTTATATCACAAATTAAAAATAGCAATAACAACATTAACACTAGAGGGGGAAGAAATTGTGCCTTTTGTTTTCTCATTTTCAGGCCAGTTTTCTGTCCATTCTCCCCGTGGACATCCATATCACCTACATCCAACAGTAGCAGGAACAGAGACAATCATGATGTCCCAATCCCCCAAGACATACAGTGTGTCAGGTATGAACTTCATCGTAAGTGGGGAAAAGAAGATAAGTGCGAGACCTTCTAGAAGGACTGTAGCAGGTTGGTTATAGAGGGGGAAGGAATAGTGGGCACCGGCAGGTTGGCCTCAATCCCAGAACCTGAGTTCTTTCTTATCCTCCTCCTGGGAGGCAAGTACTGTCCATGAAGATGGACCTATGCTCAGGCCACTTTGGCAAGGCATGTGCCCTGGCCCCTTACTAGAAGACGTGTATCACCAGAAGGATCATGGGAAGTGCTCCAGTCCCGCCCCAGCTACAGTATCATCAGGGTGTGGTGGGGGAGGGACTTAATTATATATTAGTCCCTTCATAAGGTGGGGACCAGGGAGAAAAGCCCCCTTGAATTGGAAGCCAACAAATGAAAAACAGGGTGGGCCACAGTCCCTTTGGCTAGAAACCTTCTTTGCTCAGCTTTAAAACCAGCAGAAGGACTTTGGCTCAACACTGTGTTTGCTCCGCACTCTTCTTTGAGAAGATTTGCTCCTCTGTCACCTTATGGCGATGGAGACAAGAGGAGAAGGCTCCTCGAGTTATTTTAAGAGTTTGTGCTTTCATAATGTCCGCTTCTGCATCCTTGCTGAGAGGGAAGGACTTGGAAATATTTATTGAGATTATCTCTTGCCTTTCAAATTTGATAGATTACACTAAGGTATTCTCTGATCCTCATTCTGATGAAGGCCATTATCTACCCATCCCCAACTAACTCATTTTACTTGGTTGCGTTAGGCTTTCTGCCAAATCCACTCAGCATCTGGGGGCTTGTCCAACCCCCATATGTTTCCTGCAGGTTAGGTGGGGGTCAGTTTCTGAAGCTATATCATAGAACATAGCTTTGTTATGGCTTTCAGACTATACCAGGCCTTATTTCTGCTATTATATGTGAGTGTATTATTAAGTATGAACAATAGAAGGGACCTCTGTAAATAATTTAATATATGACTGTTAAATCCAGGTATAGGTAGTACCCACCCCACCCCACTCCCTTTTCCAGCAATGTTTCCCTAACTAGGTTACAGACTTTTTGAGAACAAGAGATAGTGTCTCATTCAGCTTTATAAACCTAGCCTTCATCTCCACCACCAGCAGCAGCACCACAATGCATAACAGAATTCTTTGCACATAGTAGGTATTCAATAAATATTCGTTGCCCCTTATTGCCTAGGTGTGACCTTATACAAGGTCACAAAGGACTTTACTTTCTGGACCACAGCTGGGAAATACGGGAGTGAGACTAGATGATTCCTAAGTTTCTAACCTTAAATTCAACAATACTTTGAATGAACGAATGAATAAATGAATAAGTAAATGACTGAGTAAATGGAATATACAGATATCTGTCTGAAATTAATTGGATCTAATCCTGCTTAGAAGTAGGTAAATCAATGAAATGAACATATGAGTCGCTTTCTAACTATTTATTATTTATTCCCTATCCATAATGGTCTTCTTTATGGTCTGAACATAAGCTCTTTTTTGGACAGCCCCATTGGGTTTTTTTAAATTATGAAGTAAAAAGTACGAATGTTTACAGAAAGCGTCCTGGATCATGGCAGCCAACGTGACATCTGTTCTGAAGCCACCCACTAGCTCATTGTGGGACATTGAGCAAGTCACATCTCCCACTGGGCCTAAATTTCCTCATGTGTAAAATGTATAAATGAACTATATAACCTCTCAGATCCCTTCCAGCTCCAGTATTCTGTGAATACTGTACTTTATCAGTGCTTAGCACAGTGTCTGGCACATAGTAGGTGCTTAATAAATGCCAACTGATTTGACTTGACCATATCATTAATATCTAGCAAATTATATAGATCTGAATCTTTTGTTTTGTTTGTGCTCTTCTAAAAAATAAAGGAGAAAATAAACTTCTGTAGCAATAATTGCTTCTCTCTTTCCCCAAACTGTCCTAGTTGGTAATGAGTCCAGCAGCATTGCCATTGAGATAATAAATTATGTGATTCCTGGCTTACAGAAGTATAGCCAGATACCCCATGGATTTCTCTTTATTTCGTCCCCCCAAAACCATCTCCATTGTTGGGGGACAGGATTGGATGTGAAGCCTACCAGGAAAGGGGTAGGCAATTTTCTGTCCTCCCTCCATGACAAGGGATCAGTTTTGTTGGTAAGAGGCAGAGAAGGAAGGCCTGTGGGCCTGTCATCATTGCAGGATGGCCAAAGGCAAAACTTAGAAGTCTACAGTAGGTCAAAACAGGTGTGGGGATGGGGAGAAGAGAGAGAGAGACAGAGGCAGAGAGAAAGAGGGTGGGAGAGAGAGATCAAGACATAGAGAAAGAGAGAGCAGGTAGGGGCAGGGGAGAGAAAAAGGAAGGGAGAGGAAGAGTGACAGAGGCACAGAAGGGGGGAGAGAGAATGAGATTTGTCTATTAATCAACAAGCATTTTTAAAGTGCCTACTATGTGCCAGGCACTGTGGTGGACACTGGGGATAGATACAGAGATAATAGGGAAATAGTCCCTGTCCTCAGAGAGCTCACACCCATCTGGAAGGATGCAGCATATTCACAGGTAGGTAAATATAAAAAATAAATACATATATGTATATAAATAAAATACATAGTGTTGAGGGGGCTTGACTTTTTTATTTTTTTGTTTGTTTGGGGAAGGAAGTACAACAAGGAGGGGAATAAGGAAAGGCATCTTGGAGGAAGTGAGGGTTGAGCTTAACCTTGAAGGGAGTCTGAGGTTCCAGGAGGCAGAACTGCAGAGGGGAGAGAGCATTCCAGGAACAGAGCACAGCCTATGCAAAGACACTGAGGTGGGAGATGCAAGGTCATGTAGGAAAAACAACAAGGAGGTCAATCTGGCTTGACCATAACATGTCCCAGTGGGCATAATGTGTAGACAGCCTCATAGGTAAGGATGCAGCCAGATTGTGACGTGCTTTGAATCTTGTGTTTTACGCTGGAGGCAGAAGGAACCCACTGCCTCTTCCTGAGCAGAGGTTTGGCACAGTCCCACCTGTGCTTTAGGATCAGTCTGGCTGCTGCGTAAGGGTGAAGTGGAGAGGAGAGAGACTGGAGCCCGGAAGGCTGAAGTGACCTGCCCCCAGTGACCCAGGCAGGAAGTGGCAGGGGCAGGACTTGGAGCTAGGGCTCCAGGGAGTTTGTAGTGGAAGAGGAGTGGAGCTCACTGGAGCTTATTTGGACCCTGAGGGCAAAACTTGGAACGTGGTGGAAGTGATAGCGGTGCAGAGTTTTGCTTGATATAAATCAGTTAGAGCTGTCCAAAACCAAGATGGCGTCCCTGGGAAGTTGATGGAGGGAGTGAGAAGGGAGAACCTCTAAAGTGAAATCTAGGTTGTTATCTACAGAGCAGGCGTCCCATGGAGCTCAATGGAGGGGTTAAGTGGCTTTAGAGAAGGAGATTGGGCTTGGGAATTGGGCTGAGGGGAATGGGAATTAGGGAGCAGTCAGTGGAAGATACAGAACAGTGTTTGAACTTCAGCAAGCAGGCATTCAGAATCGCAAATGGTGTGAGTATGATGGGGGTGGGAGTATGTCAATCACTGATGAGTGGGTCCAAGTAGGTCACCATTGTCCAAACCTGGAAAGTGCCGGGCAGGGACAAGTTAGGCCGTGAGGAAATGGAAGTGGCTGCAGATGGTGCTTGCCTGGAGTGTGATGGGAGGGCCCAAGCGAGGCAAGCCTTCATGACTCTTAGAATTGATGCTTCAGTGGCTTCAAAGTGATTGAAGGTTGGAGGCCAAGAAATGGTAGCACCGGGTAGTGAGAAAGTAAGGAGTAACTTGTTTCTGTGGATAGCCACCCTTGGCATGGTGTAGTTCACAGAGAAAGCTGTCTACAATTGATCAGTCAACTAGCATTCATTGAGTTCCTGCTGTGTGCCAGGAACTGGGCTTAAGGCCGAGGATACGGAGAGAGCAGAAAAGTCCCTGCTTTCAAGGAGCTCACCGTCTGGTGGAGAGAGCCGGCTCCTGTAATCTCAGCTGTGGAACGTGAGGCCTTTTCGTTTGTCAGTGATCTCCAAAGGCTTCCGAGGTGTCAGCAGGGCATTACACTTGGAAATGCCAGGGAGTTGTCAGACTCCTTAGCAATTCATCTGCTTTTTGGGTAGCTGCTTTATTGTCACTGGTTAAGCCTTCATTTAGGTCCCGTCTCTTTAATGGCAGGACGAGTCATAGTCACAGGTTTCTGGTGAACTTGACCATGATCCTGAGGTCAGGTGACTGTAGATTTTCTCTGTAAAACAAACCTATTTTGGAATTATTCTTTTGGTCTTGCGGCCTGAGATGTGGGGTTTCCTTACATGCCCCTTATGGACACAGGGCAGTTCCTGGATGAGGCTGTAGTTTTGATTACAGTCACATGTGCTGGGACTTCCCCTCTCTTCTGCAAATCCATCCTCCTCTAGTGAAAGGGACAGCAGTGACCTTGTAACTGATTCCCACAATGGACTAAAACTCTATCGTTGACTGAGAATAATAGATGCCCCAGAGGGAGACTAAGATAAATTGCCAATTATGCTCGTTCTCAGTCAACACACAGTAAACGAGGAAGTCGGTGACCCGTGAAAAACAAGTGGAACTTGTTCTTCACAGTTTGTGGGTGCCTTTACTCCGGTCTCCCACCCTCCATCTGGGATCGCTTTTCTCTCATCTGTTCTGGCTTGGGATCAGTTGGCCTTATGCTTCCCAGAGTCTTCTGGCCTTGCCCCTCTAGCTCAGAATCCCAATTACACTGGTGGCCCCAGGCCACCACTTGGAAGATAAAGTGGCACTGAGATCATTGGTGTTAGCACCCATGTTTGATGAAGGATTCATGTATTTGAGGTTTGGCTGGGGTAATGAGGCAGCTCCGTGGTGCAGTGGTTAGAATGCTAGACTCCGAGGCCAAAAGATCTGAATTCGAATCTTGCCTCTGGCACTTACTACCCATGTGACTGAGCAAGCCACTTGACCTCACTTATCCTGAGTTTCTCAAACCAAAGGATG